AGTTAAAGCTTGCTGAAAGTTAGCATTTTTTTAACTTTTTTTTTTTTTTTTTTTTTTTTTTGCGAGAGAGGGCATGCACTTGCACGTGTGGGGGAGGAACAGAAGGAGGAAACAGAGAATCCTATGCAGGCTCCACAACCAGTGTGGAGCTGCATGCAGGGCTCAATCTCACAACCATGAGATCATGACCTGAGCTGATATCAAGAATTGATGCTTAACCAACTGAGCTACCCAGGTGCCCCAGCAATAAAATATTTTTAATTAAAATATATTTTTTTAGACATAATGCTACTGTACACTTAAAAGACTACAATATAAACATTAACTATTATATGCACTATGAAAACAAAAAAACTGATTTGTCTCACTTCACTGTGGTGGTCTAGAACGGAACCCACAATATCTCCAGGGAAGGCATGTACTGATCTACTAATATTTTTATTAGTGTAACACCACTATGTCACACATTGGTTCTTCCCAAATCCTCACTTTATCCCAATTCTTAACTCTGGAACAACAAATCCATCTAGTCCCTCTTTTATCATTCAGTTCCAGAAGTCTTTTAAAGGATAATCTCTTACAAATCAAAACCACAATGAGATACCACCTCACACCTGTCAGAATGGCTAACATAAACTCAGGCAACAACAGATGTTGGCAAGGATGTAGAGGAAGATCTCTTTTGCCCTGTGGGTGGGAATGCAAACTGGTGCAGCCACTCTGGAAAACAGTGTGGAGGTTCCTCAAAAAATTAAAAATAGAACTACCCTACGACCCAGCAATTGCACTACTAGGTATTTATCCAAGCATAGGTGTGCTGTTTTGAAGGGGCACATGCACCCCAACGTTTATAAGCAGCGCTATCAACAATAGCCAAAGTATGGAAAGCACCCAAATGTCCATCAATAGATGAATGGATAAAGAAGATGTGGTATATATATATATATATATAGGGGCGCCTGGGTGGCGCAGTCGGTTAAGCGTCCGACTTCAGCCAGGTCACGATCTCGCGGTCCGGGAGTTCGAGCCCCGCGTCGGGCTCTGGGCTGATGGCTCAGAGCCTGGAGCCTGTTTCCGATTCTGTGTCTCCCTCTCTCTCTGCCCCTCCCCCATTCATGCTCTGTCTCTCTCTGTCCCGAAAAAAAAAAAAAAAAAAAAATAAAGAAGATGTGGTATATATATATATATATATATATATATATATATACACACAATGGAGTATTACTCGGCACTCAAAAAAGAACGAAATCTTGCCATTTGCAACTAGATGGAACTGGATGGAACGAGAGGGTATTATGCCAGGCGAAATTAGAGAAAGACAAATATCATATGAGGACTTTAAGACACAGAACAGATGAACATAAGGGAAGGGAAGCAAAAATAATGTAACAGGGAGGGGGACAAAACATAAGAGACTCTTAAACATGGAGAACAAACAGAGGGTTACTGGAGGGGATGTGGGAGGGGGGATGGGCTAAATGGGTAAGGGGCATTAAGGAATCTCCTCCTGAAATCATTGCTGCACTATATGCTAACTTGGATGTAACTTAAAAAATAAATAAAAATAAATAAAAATAAGCAGAAATATGTAACAAGAACTTAAAAAAATGAAAATGAGTCAAAGTAAATAAAGGATAATCTCTTCGTTCTGAAAAAGGGAAGGTGTAAAACCATGGATTGAGTCATTCCTCATGTTGTTTGGAGGATAAAGGCGAGACTGCTGCAGTTCATACCTGCTGCCCCAAATCATGAAGCTGCCCAGAGGTAGTAATCCTGAAAGCTCTACTGAAGTAGCTAAAAAGAGCAAAAAAGATCCTGAATTTCTAAAGGACCAGCTTTAGAGTATGTAGCTCCAAAAGTGCAGTGGGTAAGGGAGGAAGTAGAGTGAATAGTGGGCTAGAATGGTATTATGCAATATAAAAAAAAGTTTTTATATTTGAAATGTATTATTTTACTTATCTTGAATATTTCTTCCTTATAAAATAAATGATATGAACAGATTTAGGTATGACCGCTGTATTTCAGCTATGAAGATGTCACATTAAAGTACAAACAAGCTAGAAGGCATTTCCAAGTTAATATAGTCCAATCCTTAAAACCTTTCATTTACAGAATGCCAACTTTACTATATTTTCACACAGTAAATTGTTACCTAATCTCACTGACCAAAACAAAAACTTCACTGACCAAATTAATCAAGATTTAAAAAATTAATAAAATAAAGGGCCACAAGACCTGTAGCATCATGTGTAACTCACAAGAAACGTATAGGCTACAGAATTCAGAGACCATCAAGATTTTCTGGAAGAAGCTATAAATACTGAAATATGTAGGCATTATTAAAGTGTTTTTTATCTTGTTTCTCAATGAAATTAGTATTTAAAAAAAAAATCACAAAAAATTCAGTGGGTATACATTTTACCAAATTTTTCCTCATACTGTTACAAACCTGTAATCATGCACTCTGACACTACTGAATCTTTTTATCAAGTGACACAGAATCTGTTACAGTGTTTGTAACTTTCTTTTGATGGCTGCCTAATATTCCAATGAGTAATAATTTCTAAATTATTTCCCTTTCTGACATTTGTCATATAATGCTGAAATTAGTATTCATGTGCATACTACTTTTCCTGTATTTGAAATCATTTCATTAGACTATAATTTCTAGCTTTTTTTTTTTTTTAATTTTTTTTTTCAACGTTTATTTATTTTTGGGACAGAGAGAGACAGAGCATGAACGGGGGAGGGGCAGAGAGAGAGGGAGACAGAGAATCGGAAACAGGCTCCAGGCTCTGAGCCATCAGCCCAGAGCCTGACGCGGGGCTCGAACTCACGGACCGCGAGATGGTGACCTGGCTGAAGTCGGACACTCAACCGACTGCGCCACCCAGGCGCCCCTATTTTTTAAATCAGCATCGACTGCATACAGCTGGGACTTGATTCTAACTTTAAAGGAATGAGAACTTGGGGTGCCTGGGTGGCGCAGTTGGTTAACCGTCCGACTCTTGATCTCCGCCCAGGTCATGATCTCACAGTTGGTGAGTTTGAGCCCCCCATCAGGCTCTGTGCTGATGGTGCAGAGCCTGCTTGGGATTCTGTCTCTCCCTCTCTCTGTCCCTCCCCTGCTTGTGCTCTCTCTCTCTCTCTCAAAATAAATAAATAAACTTAATTTAAAAATTTAAAAAAAAAAAAGGAATGAGAACTTAAGCAGACTAGAGTTGGGGATTCTGGAGGGTCCTGATCACTTAGAAGCCCAGAGGCACAGGAAGAGAATAAAAACAAATAATTTGGACAAAACAATAACACTAGTTTAAAAATGAGAGCATTTAAGAAACTAGGTGACTTTAGGACTGCCTGGGTGGCTCAGTCTGTTAAGTGTCCAACTCTTGATCTCAGCTCAGGTCATGATCTCAAGAGTTCCAGAGACGGAGTCCCCAGTCGGGCTCTACACTGACAGCACAGAGTCTGCTTGGGATTCTCTCTCTGCCCCTCCCCTGCTCTCTCTCTCTCTCTCTCTCTCAAAACAAATGAAGTTAAAAAAAACAAACTAGGTGACTTCGAAATGCAATACTAACACTAAATTTTCAAAACACTCCTTTATCTTCTAACAAAAGGATATTACCAAGTCTTCCTATCCCAGAAGATGTAATTCTGAGGAAGCTGTAAAAAAAAATTCCCAGGGCACCTGGGTGTCTCAGTTAAGCCTCCGCCTCCAGATATCCGCTCAGGTCATGATCTCAAGGTTCCTGAGATGGAGCCCGTCTTGGGCTGTGCACAGACAGCACGGAGCCTACTTGGGATTCTCTCCCTCTCTCTTCCCCTACCCCACTGGCGCGCTCTCAAAATAAATAAACATTTAAAAAAAAGAAAATTTCCCATGGACTACTGGAGTGTAGGTAGTCAATAAACTTCTACGTGCTTACGCGCACACACACATATCTCAACCACTATTTTGTTAACATACATAAGGAGGGACACAAACAAAACAAAATTGGCTCTGAATTGATCGCTGAAGTTGGAAGAGGAGGGAATTCATTATACTGTCTGCGTTTGTCTGCCTGAAACTTAAATGAAAACTTAAAAATATATATGCATAATAGAGAAAACTACAAGTCCCCAAAAAGTTACTTATGACCGGCTTTTATTTTTTATTTTACTGCAACAGAAAATGAAAGTGGTTGTCTTTCCTACTGTCTAATTGTAAACGGACCCTCCATGGCTCCCTATCCTTGCAGAAGTTTACGCTGCTAGAGTTTTCAAATCCTCAACTCCGGCACGCCGGAGGAGGAGCGCTGAGAACACAAAGAGGAGAGAGACAAGGACAGGGCCTCAGGCTTCTCACAAGGTCTCTCATAACACACGTAGGGGTCTGCGAAAAGGGGCGAAGACCGCTGCTTGCTCAAAACAGAAAAAGGCCATTTTCTCTGGCCAAAGGGGGCCCAAGTCCAGGGCCCCCACCCACCCCCAGGCACCACCTCAGGGGGCCGCCCCGCCAGGTGGAGGCGATCAGACTGTCACGCACACCGGAGACACCGACCTTCCCGAAGTCTCTCTGAACCAATGGAAACGGCACAAGGGTGTCACCGAAACCGCAGAACGAGCCCTGTCACCATCGGGAGGCAGAGCCGAGGCCGTGGCGTTTCCGCCTCGCGGCAGGAATGACAACGGGAAAGTTTCGCCGCTTCAAGTAACCAAGACCAGAGGTCTCCCGAGCTGCTCGAGGCCCTGCCACGCCCCCAACCCCGGCCTCCATTAGGCCTCCCGCACCGCGGACTCTCGGGCCTGACCTCGGGTCTGACCCCCAAACCCAGGATCCTTCCCTTTCTCAACTGCCACCTGGGGGTCGTCTGAACCCCAGATTTGGGACTTCCAAATACGGAGCGCAGTGGGAGGAGGAAAACAAAGACCCTTGACGCTGAGACTGCCACACTCACCTCGCTGAATCCAGGTGCAAAAACGGCTGAGACAGACTTAGCACTCAAAGACCAGCATCCAAAATGGCGGTTCCCTCAGCCTCAGCACAAGCAAGCGCGGGCGGAGGAATCTGCGAGGCCAAGCTAGCCACGCCCCCCTCTCCAGGGATTGGCTGCGTTCCCGCCCCGCCCGGAACTCACGTTCGAAGGGACTGGGAAGCTCCCTCATTGAGCTCCCTCCGGGGCCGGTGCAATGGGGACTACTTCCCGCGGCGGAGGCATGGGTGGTGACGCGTTAAGACTTCACGCCATCTGTATTAGCGTTCTCCGGTAGAGGCGCGTCCTGGGTATCGCATAGCTTGACCTGGGCGCAGGGAGGCAGGAGGGAGTGGTTTGTTCACCTGCTTTGTGCTCAATTCCTTTTTCCGCATTGTTCCATTCCCTCGAAAAATCCGCTCCAGCACTACCTTTTAAACACCCAGTGTTACTCTTAGAGATTTGCTCCCGTGCCTCGCTCAACTCCAGTGGCCCTGGGGGCTTTCCCTGGTGTCCGTTTCTTTCCTCCGGCGGCAATGACTGAGCAGGTTTCCACCCTTTAAAAGCTTCTTATCCGACCCTTCACCCTATTCCCTTAGTTGCCCACCATCACTCCATCGATCCCCTCCAATAGTCTTGCCCCCTTTTAAAACCAAGTCTCATTACTATTTTAACCAGACTCTCTAGCCTGTATTATATAATTCACTAGTATGTTTCCTCAACACCACGTTCTCCAGAAACTTACCATATCTCTGTGTTCAGAGGAAACTTGGATATAGTTGTCTTTGTTTTCCACTTGAAAACTATTCTCTGCTTACTATTGGAAGGGGCTTCTTAGGCTCTTGGCTTCTAGAAGGAGGTAACCCTGCCCCCTGCCGTAAAGGCTTCATCCACCGGGATCAACACTGTGGTTTGCTAAATTATAATGCGGTCATATGACAAGGATGGACTATGCGTAACTGTATGAGGTTTTTATGAATTTAGATATACTGTTTTTATAACCACTTGCAGTATTTCTAAATTAAACCGGTTCCAGAACCTCAAAATACAGTGTTTGGCTCTTTTAAAATGTGTGGGTTTTTTTCCCCTGTAAATGCATGCAAATATAATTCAGCCCGTTGTGCAATAAGGTAATGGCATCTAAAAAAAATAGAAGTGAAGGCAGATTGCTTGAATTTAAAAAGCCTTGGAGACACTGCAATCAAATGGAATGTGTGTGGATCTTGTTTAATGATTCAAACAAGCCAACTATAAAAGACATTTTGAGACAATCAGGGAAATTACTTTATGGACGAAGTATTACAAGATACTAACTAACCAAAGAGTTGTTCTTTTATAAGCATGAAAATGGCATTGAGATTTTGTAAGAAAATGTCTTTTTTTTAATTTTTTAAGAAACGAATACTTTGCAAAGGGGTAAAATGGCACAAAAATCTTGATAATTGTTTAATTGGATGAGAGTTACTGTACAATTATCTCTACCCTTAAGCATGTCTTCAAATGTTCATAGTCAATAAGTCAAAAGGTGAAAGCAGCCCAACTACATGGTGCGAAGACTGGATAAATAAAATGTGGTACATACATGCATTGGAATATTATGCAGCCTAAGAAGGAAGGAAATTTTGACACATCATCTACAACATGGATGAACCTTGAAGACATTCTAGTATGGGAAATAAGCCAGTCACAAAAGGACATACGCTGTGTAGTTCCATCTATATGAGGTACCTAAAGAGGTCAAATTCAGAGAGGGAGAAAGTAGAAATTCAGAGAGGGAGAAAGCAGAATAATGACTACCAGGGGCTAGAGGGAGGGGAAAGTGGGAATTATTGTTAAATAAGCACAGAGTTTCAGTTTGGCAAAACAAAAGTTCTGGAGGTGGATGGGGGTGATGGCTATGATTATGTGAATGTACTTAATGCCACTGAACTGTACAATTAAAAATGGTTAAAATGCTAACTTTTAGGGGTTCCTGGGTGGCTCAGTCAGTTAATGAGTTTGAGCTCTGCATTAGGCTCTGTGCTGACAGCTCAGAGCCTGGAGCCTACTTCAGATTCTCTGTTTCCCTCTCTCTCTCTCCCCTCCCCCTTGCATGCTCTTCCTCTCTCTTTCTCTCAAAAATAAATAAACATTTTTTTTTTAATTTTAATGCTAACTTTTAGATTATGTATATTTTACCACAACAAAAAAAACAGTTCATAACAAATTAAAAAAAAATTTTTTTAATGTTTACTTACATTCAAGAGAGAGAGACACACACAGTGCAAGCAGGGGAGGGGCAGAGATACAGAGACAGAATCCAAAGCAGGCTCCAAGCTCTGAGCTGTCAGCTGTCAGCTGTCAGCCCCAACGTGGGGCTCAAACCCATGAGCCATGAGATCATGACCTGAGCAGAAGTGGACGCTTAAGGAACCGAGCCACCCAGGCGCCCCCTAACAAAGTTTTTTAAATTAAGTCTATGTCATGAAGGGGATTAAATAAACAGCATATATACTAATCATTTAAATGGAAAATGTGGAATCTTCTACCAGAAAACTGGCTCTAGATTAAAAGGAACTAATGAGACATAATAACCAAATAAAATACATAAAATTCAATTGGATCCTGGTTAAAAAAAGGAAAGATACTGGGGGAACAACTTAAGAAATTCAAATGTGTGTTTAATATTAGACATTATGAAATTATTGTTAATTTTCATAAGCATAATCATTGTTTCATAAGTGTAATCACAGTGTAGAAGAGTCCCCTTATTCTTAGGAGATGTATGTTGAACTATGTAAAAGTGAAGGATCATGTTGTCTGCAACTTACTTTCAAAGTGTTCAGAAAACAAAAAGTGTGTGTGTTTATACTAGGCTATTATATATCTCCATGGGAAGTAGTAGTTTCCCCCCCAGAAACTACCAGATTAAACCAAGTTCCCAGCAATAAATATATTATGATTCTGTTCTGCATTTAGTTTAAAAGCAGGATAAAGGGGACTGAATTTAATACCTTCTTTTTTTTTGAAAGTAAAAATATGTTTGTTTTTACTAATTTGAAAGTATATGTGTGGGGTTTAATGAAAGATTCCTCATGCCATTATTAATTTTTTGGAATACATTATTTAAAATTTTGTTATTATTTTAAATTTAACACAAATAATATGCAAACTGTCAGTAAACCTGCTTTTTATACTTAATATATCCTGTATATCATTTTTTTAAGATTTTTTTTTTTAATTTTTTTTATTTTTGAGACAGAGAGAGACAGAGCATGAACGGGGGAGGGGCAGAGAGAGAGGGAGACACAGAATCGGAAGCAGGCTCCAGTCTCTGAGCCATCAGCCCCGAGCCCAACGCGGGGCTTGAACTCACAGACCGCGAGATCGTGACCTGAACTGAAGTCGGACGCTCAACCGACTGAGCCACCCAGGCGCCCCTTTTAAGATTTTTTTTAAATGAGACACAGAGTGCAAGTGGGGGAGGAACAGAGAGAAAGGGAGACACAGAATCCAAAGCAGGCTCCAGGCTCTGAGCTGTCAGCATACAGCCCAACACGGGGCTCGAACCCACCACCCATGAGTTCATGACCTGAGCCAAAGTCAGACACTTAAAGTTTTTATTTTTAAGTAATCTCTACAGGGACACCTGGGTGGCTCAGTCAGTTAAGTGTCTGACTCTTGACTTTGGCTCAGGTCATGATCTCATGGTCATAGGACTGAGTCCTGCATTGGGTTCCCCACTGAGCATGAAGCCTGCTTGGGATTCTCTCTCTTCCTCCCTCTCACTGCCCCTCCCACCCTCTCAAAATAAGTAAATAAACATTAAAAAAAAAGTAATCTCTACACCCAACATGGAACTAGAACTTAAGAGTCCCATACTCTATCAACTGAGCCAGCCACACACTCCATTCTGCATATCTTTTCCTGTCAATATATATAGATCCATCTTTAACAATGGAAGCAGGTACACCATTATTTAGCCAATCATCTCTTATTGATACTTAGGCTGATTCCAGTAATGTTCTGTAATGTACTATAATGAATATTGTTCTAAATATATATATATATATATGAATACTTTCAGACTATTTTTCCTCAGACTATTTATTCAAGACAGATTCCCATAAGTGGTAATGCTTGGTCAAAGGGTATGCATATTTAAATTTTTGATGCCCACGTTATGGGCTGAACTGTGTCCCCCCCCCCCTCCAAATTCGTATGTTGAGATACTAATCCCCAGTATCTCGGAATGTGACCTTACTTGGAGACTGGGTCTTTACAGAGGTAGTCAAATTAAAATGAGGTCCTTAGAGACAGCCCTACTCCAATATGACTTGTGTCCCATAAAAAGGTGAAATTTGGAGATACACACACATGCAGGGAGAACACCAAGTGAAGATGAAGGCAAAAGCAAAGCATCTACAAACTGAGAAACACCAAAGATTGCCAACAAACCACCAGAAGCTTTCAGGAGAGGCCTGGAACCAATTCTTCCTAATAGCCCTCAGAAGGAACTAACCCTATTAATATCTTGATGTAGAACTTCTAGCCTCCAGAATCATGAGACAATAAATTCCTGTTGTTTAAGCCACCCAGTTTGTGGGACTTTGTTAAAGCAGCCCTAGCAAACTAGTACAACCTGTTACCAGACAGTTCTCCCAGAAGGTTCTATAATTTTATCCTCCTAGTAATAGTATATGTGCATGCCCATTTCCTCATACTCCCCAACTGTGGGCATTGTCAATCTTTCTAATCTTTTTGAAACTAATAAATTATTTTAATTTGCATATCTTTGAACATTAGTAAGATTGACTAGCTTGTAAATAGTGTGCTCATTATAGGTTTTGCCCATTTTCCTAATGGTGCAAATAAACTTTTAAAATAAATTTTTTTACGGTAATGCATAAACAGCAATACACACACACACACACACACGCACACAGGCGCGTGCGCACACACACGCACACATCACACACACACACACATACACAGCTGAAAAAGATTTACAGTAAATACTGTCTCCGTCCTTTGACCCTTAGTCTTTTAGTCCCTCACTCTAGAAATAGAAGAACTGTTGTTACCAGATTCTGGTGCCTTAGAGCAAGTTACTTAATCTCCCTGTGCCTCAGTTTCCTCATCTGTAAAATGGGAATGCCACCACCTATCTTAATAAAATTGTTATGAGGATTAAATGTGCTAATAACAAAAAGCTCTTAGAATGGTGTATTAAACAGATAATGTTTAATGCTTTCAAAATCCTTCCAGTGAT